CAGCGCGGAGGCCATGGCTGAGCGGGGCGGGGCGGGGATGTGCCCCGAGCCTCCCCGTCCAGCGCCTCCGCGGCCGCTCTGGTAGCTGCCTCCCGGCCCGCCTTGCCCGGGCAGCCTGCGCTGCCTCCTGCGGCTCCCTACCCCCTCGGGGCACTCCTGTGACCCTCGCCCTCCTCCTCTTCTCCTCTCACTTGTCCCCAAGGAGTCCGTTGTGACAGTGGCCCCCTTAAGGAAGGCTTCTAGTTTTCCTTGCTTGGCCCTAGCCCAACGCTTCCCCCCAGCCTAACAAACCGGGCTGTGCAGCGCAGCCATCTCCCAGCCCTCTCCAAGCCACGTGGCAAAAGGAGTTGTTTGACTCCAGCTCTGTGACTTATCTGGAAATCTTTTTTCAGGCTGTCCTGGCTCCTGATCTGTGTTGCACTGGGGCTGGCACAGCTTCCCACCACCCCAAGGGAGCTGTGCCATCTCCATGTGTTCCAGGGAAAAAGCCCTCCTGTCTCGGGGCTTGGGCACATGGCCAGTTAAGGTGGGGGGTGGGGGGATGCTGTGCTGCAGGCCTGGGGCTCTCTGGTGAGCTCTGGTTTACCACTGGGTAAAGAGCCTGCATGTGAGCAGTCGCAGGGAAGTACCTTGCAAGGCAGTAAAGCTCCAGCCACATGGTTCGTGTGCCAGATGCCCTCCATCTCTCCCCATCCCTGTGCGTTTTTCTGTCCTTTTCCTCTCTGGCCACTGTAACTGGCTTTACGAGTGCCTGGGGCAACCCAGCTGCAATACTGTATGGGACAACAGGTCCCCATCACTTCCTCCTGCCCTTCTTGAATTGGCTCCCCTGACTGCACCCCAAGACTGACCATAGCCTGGCCTTGTTTAGCATCCATAAACTAGACTGATTTAGCATAGGAAGAGATGCCCCTCGTCTCAATGAACCCAGATACCTCATTTTATTTCATCCCAATGCTGTTTAGGTTCATGTCCTTTTCGGATGTAGAGGGCTGTATATCTTATTTCACAGTCCTTTGGGGCCAGTCAGTCCCCGTAGCCTGTGGAAGGCTTGGGACTAGTGCCCTCTGAATGAAAGGCACTGTCTCCTGTTTATTGGAAGACTGTGGTTCAATCCCTACATCTGGGAGTAAAGCCGAGGGAATGCTGCACAGGGTGCATGTCTGTGGTGGGGATTCTGCAGCCTGTGGGTGAAAGTCAGCAGTTCACATGGATAGGCCAAGGCCTGAGAGGCCTCTGGTGTAAGGGCGTCAGCGATGTGACTTTCACTGGTTTGTAGAGTGGGTCTGGCACAAAGAGAGCTTTGGTTCTATGCTGGGTTAGGAAGCAGAAGCCTGCCCTCCTACTGTTAGCACCACTGCTGGAAAGAGCAGTAGTAGCAGTGGGAATTCCAGCTGGACACAGAGTTACTCCTGAGACTCGCAGCAGAACTTTGGCTTTTGCTTTGTGAAAATCCTCCCTGGTACAGGACGCTCCCTCACTTCTTGCCCTGCACTGTTGCTGTTAAGTATCTGCTGCCCACCACTTGAGCCAGCTGCCCTGTCCAGGTGGGTGTTGTGTGTTTCTTCCTGTCCCTCTCCGCAGCCTGGGAAGCTTCATTAAACATCTGATCAATCACTTTGTTTCCATGGAAACAGAACTATTATTAATGCATTATTTTAAAAACAGACACACAACTGACACTCCAAATATAGAATTTTAATACCATCCTCTGCCTGCTGTAGCCCCAGGAGTATTTCCTGTGATGGGGCAGAGCTAATGGAAGGGTGAGGCTAATGAGGGGGTGGAGCTAACAAGGGGGGCGACAAAGCTGTGGTCCTGTTTATAACCTGAGAACAGGCACCGACTGCTAATGTCCATGGCTCCCTCCCATAGGCCTTTGCCCCTACCAGCTCAGCATAAACCGAGGGTGCCATTTCCTTTCTGTCAGCTGGAAACAGAGATGCAAACATAAATTATCTGTTAGGATCTGGGACTAGGGGAACTTTTAAAGTTATTTATTTAAAAATCCTGATGGCACTGAATGTCTCTGACACTGTCTTTTATAGTTTGGGGTCCTGGAAGGCTTGTGCCTCACAGGCCCCAAGGGTCCTTTCATGTAATGCCTGCTCTCCGTCCTGCAGATGCCAGGCTTCACTGCCAATCAGCAAACAGTGCTGTGCCCAGTCAGAGCCCTCCTCCTCCATGCCACCTCCCAGACAGTGGTGACTGTCATGGCGTGGCATTAGCTGGAGGCGTGAGTGCCGTGGACTACAGGCAGGGGAGGGCTGTGGTGTCTCGTCAATGAAGGTAGTAATCTCATCCCGGAAGAAGCAGGCACTGGAGCCAGCCCCTCGGGGGCCCAGCCCCCCCTCCAGGAACTGCCGGAGTGTGGTCAGTTCATCTTCAGGGGGTCGCCGACGGTGGTGGTAATCACGCAGTTCAGGAGGGAGGAATCCAGGACTGCCAGGTTTGCGGGGGGTGGATATTCGGATGTCATCAGACGAGGACCATTTGTGAAGAAAAGATGGAGCAGAGCGATGGGAGAAGATGTTTGTCTCATCATGGGACATTCGTCGGGAGATGGGGACCTGAATGAGGAACAAAGAGATGGCAGGTGAGAAGGGAAATGGTGGGAGGCTTGCCAAAACCAACAGACAGTAAGCAAAGAGAGAGAGACAGAGGGCTGTGGGGAAGACTAAATGAGTAACGCTGGGAGACCAGAACAGGGTGACCCCTTTAACTCTACAATGGAGTTCCAGACAAGGGAATTTTTCGCTGTTAGGTATGAGGCAGAAAGGGCTGGAGGGTGGTGGATCCATTGCAGTTCCTACAGCTCACCTGCAGGTAATGCACCTTGTCTTGGGGGAGCAGCATGTGGTGCATGGGCAGTAGCTTGACCTCTCTGGGGTCCCGTTTCACAGCTGCAGCTCCATTGGCATCAAATCGCACCTTGCAGATCCTGCCATCGCCATAATCCTCACAGGCACCATCTGGAGTGAAGGAAAGAAGCAGTGCACTGTGCTGTCAGCCACCAGAGGAGACTCTCCTTTCTCCAGATGTCCACTCAGCGTGGTTAGTTCCCTCTTGCATTGCCTCAGTTCTCAAAGTGTCCCACAGTTCCCCCTCCTTGTCTTCTGGGTTTTCTCCTCCCTTCCTCTGCAGGACAACCCCTCCTTCCTAATGATCCCCTTCTCATCTGGCTGAGGGGGCAGGGCTAGCACACCATAGTACAGCAAGGACCTGTTTGCCCTTCTCAGGGCCGGCTCTACCCTTGAAGCTCTTGCCACAAACACTGGGAGGCAAATGGCCCCTTAAATCACACTGCTGGGGAGCAAGCAACCTAACCTGTGCATCTCTAGTTCCAGCCTTGACACAAAATTGTATTGCTGAAGCCTGAATTCCCAAATCCCTGCTTCCTTCTGAAGCCTGTATTCTGCAGCTACAGCCTGAATTTCTCGTAACCCCCAGAAAGTGCTCTGCTCTCATCCCCAGTGTTGCTCATTCCCTTGCTTAAGTCATGTTTCCCTTCCTACTGTACATTCCCAGGGCAGGACTTCCCCTTCCTACTGTATGTCCCCAGGGCAGGATAAGGGAAGCAGCAGAGGCTTTGAGAGATACTCACTAGGGCTGTGCAAAGCTTCAGTCCCTGATTCAATTTGGTGGATATTTGGCCGGATTCAGTGGCTGAATCTCTGAATCCAAATCAAATCAGAGGAC